TTTCCATATTTACTATAATTGGTATATCTTCAATGCAACGATGAATCACAACGAACTTTACGGTCTTTGCGATAGAACTGAGGTAACGATAAGGGGATAACGATCTCTAGAATCGCTACGATCGTGAAAGAGTAGTTTTTATATTAACCCAACGATCACTGTCGTTAGAGACAGTCTACACTGCCGGTTTCCTTTCTAGCGAGAATTTTGTGCGGACACGTCCGGCTGCACCGTAGGCTACTGTCGTTTATAAAATGACTGAGATACTTCGCACGCTCCGATTGGTCAATAGAGTTGCTAAACCACGGTTCCTGATCTATGGCAGCTCTATGCGCGAACTGAGAACTCAGAACTCTAGCGATATAACAGATGTAAAAAATAGTTTTGCCCTTCACGGGCTGAGATATTAACAACACGAATATCTTTTCATTCAACAAATACATGGAAATTTGCAAGGAAAAACAAGACCAGAAGTTGGTCGTCATATAAAGCTTTATTTTTTTTTTCCACGGCAAAACTTTTACGCCGACTTGGGTAACGCCTGAGATTACGATTAAGGACGTTTTAAACCCTTACTTTGGTGCTTTCACGGTCTGTGGAGAACGAAGTCAGCTAGGCTTGACTGATCAGTTTGGGTTGTCAAAAAAGCAGGGAAAAGATTTCTTTCTATCAGAAATTTTGAGTTTACTCAATGCATGCATGCATAACACGATAAATTTCTTATTGATTTCCATAAGCTTAGCTTTCAAGCAATAGTTTTCATTTAGCAAGATACAGAGAGAAACACGGACTTCATAGCTTTCAGCATAAGTAAATAAATTTTTAATAAATCTTGGAAGCAGCGTTTCTGTTACTAAACTTTGTTCCATACGCAAAAGTTTGGAAAGTTATCGTTAAGAACTGCCTTGAATCGCCTTGTCACGCACATGAAGTGTGGACACTTTTCGTACAGCTAGCCTTTTACTCTCGAGATGACCGATTCCACCTACGAATCCCTGCATTTCTCCGTCAGAATACTTTTGAGTTAATTAAAATACCTTTTGCCTTTCACCGATAACCTTTTCTTTTCCTTTCTTAAAAATTTCTCAGCGTGAAATATTTTCGTCGCTTTGCTCTGCGGATTTCGCGTCCGGCGTGTAGGCTGTGCTTTTATTCTTTCAGTCGCTGTGATTGGTTAGTCACGTCGTCTCATGAATTTGATGAGAATAAGCAATTTGATCACGAAAGTACAACAAATGTTCCTCTGATTGACAGACTTTTTCCATAGTTATTTCATAAAAGCGATAGACCACTCTTTCTGTGGGTTTACCGGCGCAATAAACCACTTGGGATGTTGGGAGAACACTCGAAAAGCTTTTAAATCACTCGCCTTACGGCTCGCGATTTACAAGCTTTTCTCGTGTTCTCCTAACATTCCGTGTGGTTTATTGCGCCAGTAAACCAATAGAGAGGGTGGTCTATTGCTTAATTATAAAATAATTGAGATACTACGCACGCTCTGATTGGTCCATAGAGTTGCTAATCCTATGTTCTATTGCACCGGTAAACCACGGTTTCCGATCTATGGCAGCTCTAGGCGGGAACTGAGAACTCGGAACTCTAGTGAAAACAAATGTAATAAACAGTTTTGGGGCTCTCACCGGCTGAGATATCAATAACACGAATATCTTTTCAGTCAACATATACATGGCAATTTGCAAGAAAAAACAGCACCAGAAGTTGGTCGTCATATAAAGTTTTAAGCTTATCTGTCACGGATGTCATTACATGTGTCGTGACATCGCGTCACGCACTATGTTCGCAATGTATCATGGATAAGGATGGAATGAGTACGCCTTCAAGATGACGTGTTAATGTTGTTGTTATAAAATGTTGTTATTGGAAAATGAGCCTTTATTCTGTCTTGAATGATTGAACGAACCGCGAACTACGAGAGAACAACAACAGATTGTCAAATTTTAAGTATTTTACACTTATCTTTTTTTTCCACGGCAAAACTTTTACGCCGACTCCGGTTACGCTTTAAGCCCTTTAAACCCGGAAAGTTTTTTTTCGGTGCTTTCCACGGTCTGTGGAGAACGAAGTCGGCTGGGCTTGACTGATCAATTTGGGTTGTCAAAAAAGCAGGGAAAAGATTTCTTTCTATCAGAAATTTTGGGTTTAAAATCAACGCATGCATGCATAACATGATAAATGAATTTGATTTCCATAAGCTTAGCTTTAAAGCAATAGTTTTTCATTTAGCAAAATGCAGAGAGAAACACGGACTTCATAGCCTTCAGCATAAGTAAATAAATTCTGGATAAATCTTGGAAGCAGCGTTTCTGTTACTAACCTTTAGTCCATTCGCAAAACTTTGGAAAGTTATTGTTAAACACTGCCGTGAATCGCCTCGCCAAGCATATGAAGTTTGGACTACTTGCACACTTTTCGTAAAGCCTTTTACTTTCGTGAGAACCGATTTCACCCACGAATCCCTGCGTTTCCCCCATCAGAATACTTTTACGTTAATTAATATGCTTTTTGCCTTTCACCGATAACCTTTTCCTTTCCTTTCTTACAACTTTCTCAGCGTGAAATGTTTTCGTCGCTTTGCTCTGCGGATTTCATGCCCGGCGCGAAGTCTGTGCTTTCATTCCTTCAGTCGCTGTGATTGGTTTGCCGCTTCATCTCATGAATTTGATGAGAATAAGCAACTTGATTACGACAGTACAATAAATTTTCCTCTCATTGACAGACTTTTTCCATAGTTATCTCATAAGAGAGAGAACACTCGAAAAGTTTGTGAATCATTCGCCTAAAGACTTGGGATTTACAAGCTATTCTCGTGTTCTCCCAACATCCCGCGTGGTTTATTGCGCCAGTAAACCCATAGAAAGAGTGGTCTATAGCTTGAATAGCGCGCGTCGAATGGAAACCAGCCTTAATGTGTGTTGCTTCATTACGTTCGTAAGAGATGAACTCGAGGCTCTCAGTTACGAATTGATGAAACATTTTCGTCTCTTGCAGGTCTCATAAAGGCCCATCTGGCAATCAGAAAGCGGGCAAAAATTCAGAAAGTGCTGACGTTCCAAGCCAGTTGTCTTCAATACCGTCTGATAAGCAATATGGAAGCGTTCCGTTAACTTCAACGTCACTTGAATGTAAACAAATGGAGACCAACCCATCTGACCTTATAAGCCCAGAAAGTAATTCAAAAAGATCAGTTGTATACTTAGTTTTTCTAGTAGATCGGTAACGAATACAATTGTCAAGTTCACTCTAACATTCAACTGTCTGACTGACAGACCTACGGACAGACTGACTAACCGAAAAACCGATCTTCCGATATGATGCCTGACTGACTGACTGACTGAGTGTCTGATTGACTGCATGACTAACTGATTGACTGACTGAGTGACTGACTGACGTATTGGCTGACGTATGGACGGCGGATGGAAGGAGCAAACATTATTCTCCTTTTATTTTATTGCATTGCATTGCACTTCGTTACATTTCATTTCATTTTAGAAACAGCAGTCCTCCCAGACCCACCAGTTAGCAGCAGCAG